ATGTTTAAACTTATTTTTAGTATCTCCTGATCTATTAAAGAGTGAAGGACCATTTGATCAAATACGTAGTGTCACTGTGTATTCGGTTGGATAGAAAGCTCTTGAGGTATAGTAGTTTCGGGTTGAAACACTAGCATGACCATTTCAGGAACCCTATCGTGTTATATGTTGAGAAAGAGTAGCAGATACTTGCTATACCATATCTGCGTGAAATGATTAACTAGGTGATCTGTGCCTCTGTTGAAAACATACTCTTCAAGTTCAGGCAAAATGGTAGGGGCACAACTGCTGAAATCTCCCCTGGCGTTTGAGTAGAGAGCAGCTTTGTGCCTATACAGGTGGTCTAACAACTGCAGACTACAAGTCTATGTCAGTCTTTGGGAACGTGTTGTATAAGCAGCTAGTAGAGGAGCACGTCGAGAACATGTATAAAGGTGCTAGCTGCTACAAACGTGTATGTGTTAACTAACAGCAGCCATCCTGCTTATCTGTGCTTACTTCGCTCTCTCTGCCTCCACTCTAAAGAGCTAGCGAGTACCGATAGAAGGCAACATCACGCATGCGACTCCTGCTCTGTGTATGCTTTATCTGGGGATCATTCAAGATTCTTACATTCACCCAGCAGACGAACAGCCGAGTCAATTAAAGCGTTTCAAGTAGCGGATCTCATAGCTGATTAGCGCCATGCTGCTAATGCTAATATATGCGCTACACAGTGACGTTAGTCCACAAAGAAGCTGGAGCAAACACATCTTGACAACACATCACTACGCATTTTTTTCTTGCAGAAGAAAAAGAAAACACTTGACGCAGTTTTCTGATGACGGCTTTCTGTATGACGCCCAGCTATTGCAGTCCTCTCCATCTTGTATCATGCATCAGCATCTTCCGACTAACTTTGACACACTGACTATCATCTGCAAATACATCTTCAGTGAATCTACATAGAAAAGGGACAAATGCCATAGTATCAGGAGGATATAACGCCTCTTGCATAGAAAAGACAGCGCTGGCAGTGACATGTATAGGGAGATATAGCTATCCTCCCTTGTATGTATCTCCTTCGTCGTGTGATCTGATTCTACTCATACTCCAGGACTGCTGCCGGCCTCTTCAGTAACTGGAGCGTGGTGATTTCTGTCACTTTTTATTTTGATGCCCTGTTTGGCAGCTGTAGTCTCTAGAATACCTTTGATCTGCGTGAGTACCTCTCCATAGTACTGGGGTTTACTGCTGTTGGGTCTTTTGCTAGCATTCTTCTTCTGAAGCAGTTTTTCGAATGTGGAGCGTAAGATGTGGCGCATCATGGGGTTAGTGCTGCTCCACAATTTGTGCATTCCCCCTTGATTACAACAGTGTCCCTGTGCTGTAGGGCTAAGTGCCATGTGGGTGCCAACGAAGCAGATGATGCTGAGGCAGGAGATGAAATTGTGGAGCATGCAGATGAGGTGGGTGATTGTGAAGATGCATGAGAGGTGCAAGTGGTGTTTGGTCCCGAAAGGGATACTGGTCGTACCTTTCCCTGCACAGCGAGCCGTGTCAAGATACACAACCAGCTGCACGATGTCCGCTATGATGTGATGTGACTAGAGTGAAGAACGCTCCACAGTTGGCTATCACGCCGAAAAAATACAGCTTGGTTACATTTTCTGCCATTGACTCTAGTTTGTATTGCTTCTTCAGATCATAGTTTGGAAACTCAATTGCCTTTAATATTAGCCAGTCCTTCATCTGCTGCTTTGTTGAGCTCATGATAGGCACCAGTTCCACCTTACAACTATGGTAATGTGTGTTACCCATTACAATCAAATTAGGCAATAAACTGTCGTGAAACCATTCTTCAAAGTGTGCTGCTGTCATTTGATCGTGGTAATTACCGGTCACATTTTTGCTCTGGAATACCACATCTGCTCCATTCACCCATCCGTTCTCTCCCCCCAGCATGCAAGATGATCAAACGGTTTCCCTTCCCTGATGGTTTACAAACCCCTCCAATAGTATCACCACTCACTCACCACAGGATCATCTTCCAACCACATCTTTTCCACACTGTCTCTTGCATTGGCCCATGTTTGACCCATGTACACGACTGGTCTTCCTTCTCGTCTGTTCCTCATCATTCTTAGTAGGTGTTTATGTCATTGTACAATAATACTGGGCTGCTCGTACACGTATCTCTTATCATTGACTTGCAAAACCGAGCTTCTTACGGACTTCTCCACACCGTAACGTAACACATTCACCAGCAAAAGACCTCTTTCCTTAACTAGTGCAAGCAACGACTCCAACGTAAGAAACTTCTTATCGTGGTAGAACTCATGAACTGCAAGTCGTATTCTTTCCATATCGAAGTCATCGACAATAATCTTCTTCCTCTCTTTCTTGTATGGCTTAGCAGGAAAACAGCTCCATCCTTGGCTCTCTTCTCACATACTATTCGACTCACAGTGCACACTGCAACTAAGCAATAGTATTTAAACCCATTGCATTCATTATGCTATGTTTCTGCACTGCTTTCAAGAATACAGGAACAATCTGTTCCATGTCCAGCAACTTGTCCGATAAATCTATCTCCCAGTGTTTGCTGTTGTCAGTGTGGCAGACTTTTGGCACAATTCCAACAGGTGTGATAGGACAGCTATCAACATTTGTAGCATTGATTGGCTTTGAGACTACTCTGCCGCAAGTTCTTTCTGATGTGTTGTGGGCATGTCAACAGTGCATATGCCAGCAGTACTCCTAAGTTGCACCTAGAGACCAAAGAACTTTGTAATCGTTCGTTTTTATTTGTCCCCCCTCCTGGTGGAATACTGAGACATCCATTTAGTATATGTCTCTTCGGTTTCTGAGTTGCTGGCAGTTTCAGGTGTGGAAACACTTCTCCCAGTAGAATCCTTTACATCCTTCAACTTCTCTACAAATCTCTCTAACTTCAGTAGCATCTTTTCAGAACCAGGTGTGGCTACAATCCTTTTACGTTCACTGTCTCCGTCTTCCCTAAACACTGGTCCTCTGTACACTTATGTGCCAAGACGTGTCTTTTGTATAATGTTCGTGTAATTTTCTGCACTGCATGAAACAAATCCAATTTCACCAAAACATTATCTCCTAAAAGTGAAGTTATTTTGGCTCTAAGCTTACAACAGTCATCATTATAGACAGTTTCGATATTTGGCGACTGTTCCTTGAGGTCTGAAAGTAAGACTTCAATATGTGAAAAAGAAGTTCCTTTTGTTAGTTGCCAAGTCTGGACTTTCCCTTCATTGTTCATAACTATGAATAGGCGATCATATTGAGGAACCCATGTAACATCCTCCCTGCAATACCTAATATCTGGCACAACTTTGAAAGTATGATCGAAGCTGATACTTGTACCAGTCTGAATGGAATTGATATGTCGTAGGTAGAGATGTTCATCGTTCAGAAACTGAGCAAGAAATACATTTGAGATGATGTCATTACTTTGAGAATTGGATAGCAATGACATCTTAAAGGTACTAGTGCATGTGTCCCTCCCAATCATTTTCATATGTAGCTTATACATTTCCTGCTGCCTTGAAAAAGTGTCCATACGCCTTTCAAGAATCAATGTTTCAATGCTGAGAAAATTCATACCTTGCACAGATAGACTAGTACACATACGTGCTAAGTCATTTGTAAATCCGGTTTTTGCAAGCAGGATAAAAGGAACCATAACACCACAAAAACTTAATTTTAACATTCCAGCCATATACGTAGGTCCCTTTTCCCATGCCCCCTCACAATGATGAAACAGGAATCTATTCAAAATGCTATTGTCATGTGTGTGATCCAACACACTTATACACAGCACTAACTAACAGAACCACATGGTTTATGTCATGTACATATTACGTGGCTGATTTGATGAGGATGAACCGTCATTCCAGTGTGAAAATTGGGTCGGGTTGCCACAGGATGGACATGCAATGGATCTGGGAGGAAACAATGATGGATGAGTTATGTAGGGGTGCCATATCAATATTGGGGGTGCGTAAGTAGAAATCATCATATACCAAGTTTGGATCACCAATGTTTGGAAGAGGTGGCTGCAAAACCCCTGCAAGTAGTTTCCCGTGAGATCCACGTTTAGGACGAATAAGAATGTAGTGTTAACACAAAACCCTTCCATGTGGTTATCTCAACATCCTTATCAAGGAGTGCTTTCAGACGCTCTTTTATGTAGCAGCAGAAATGATCAGTTATATTATACGAATGGACACTGCAACTAAGAAATAGTATCAGAACGACTGTCTGGCTTTCCTGTACAAAAGATAAAGTCACCGTATACACTACGTCAAATGCCTGGTTCACGTGCCATTTGGGTCAGGCTGATCTTTTGGAAGGAATTAAGAAATGTTGGGGAAAAGTTAGTGAACAAAAGTGTCAGAATTCAGATTGGACACTTAAAGAAAGTTATCCCAAAAGCGAATTCCTGGGAGAGGCATCAGGATACTGAATGTTGATGTACTTACACACTTTGTGGTGTTTGTGATTTTTTTACATTATTGATGTTTGGCACATGTGCAGCAAAAGTTGACTCACAAATCAGTGGTGAAGTAATAGGTAATAAATGAAGCACATGTTGACATGGTACATACGTATATATATATAGCTATAAAAGGACACTGTCCACTGTCTGCTTCTCTACTGGCTGCCTTTTTTCTCCCGTCCACAAGCCCTCTGCATTGCACAGTGGGCTGGCTTCCAGTAACTGTTCTTGAACTCAATTTCCGAGATGGCGGGGAGATGGCGGCTGCAAAGAATATACGTATATGTTGGGGACCAATTAAAAACCCGGCCCGTTTTAAAGCCGTCCGAACGGGCCGGACCGCTTTAAAACGGGCCAGACGGCTTTAATTCCGGCCCGACCATTTTCAAGCCGCCCCAGACGGTTTTTAAGCAGACGCTCAGGATGACCATGTCGTTCATTACCGTGCAACGGCTGTTCCAGCCAACGGCGAGCACGGTCCGTGCATGCGGGCCGGCAGCAGTGTCCTACCGTGCCAGAAGCTGTTCCAGCCTGCGAGCACGGGACGGGTCCGTGCATGAATTAAACTGGGCCGGCAGCAGTGTCCTACCGTGCCAGCAGCTGTTGTTCCAGTCAGCGGCCTTGCAAGTGCTGTCGTCTACTGCGCCCAGAGGCGGCAGAGAAAACCAGGACGGACTGGGCAGGTGATCGCGCGCGGGAGCGATCGATCTTGCGCGCATGGCTATCCCTGCGCGGGACGAGTGTCAAAGTTCGCGGTCGACTGCTGAGGTAGATCGCAAAATCAGGGCTGGACAGTAGCGACTGGTAGATAGGTTGCTTCTTCCTGACTGCCTTCAATCGAGTGGACAGTTTTAAAGCCGTCTGGACGGCCTCTAGACAGCCTCTAGACGGCTTTAAACTGGTCTGGACGGCTTTAAACCGGCTGGCCCGTTTTAAAACCGTCTGGACGGCTTTAAAACGGGCCTCTGGTTTTTAATCGGTCCCCAACATATATAATAGATACAAACGTACTTACCGCAGTGTGTAACGGATGCCTTCCTCGCTTAGCTTTTCCTGCACCACCACATCTGCCCTGTACACACACATTCTTTGGCCAGTTTAATTGCCAGTTTACCCACCCTTCCTGGAGCCAGCCAGTCACTGAGTTCATTCACAACTTCTTCACACGGACGAAGTCTCTGGCGAGTGGGAGAGAGTGGGGGTGGACGTCTGATGAGGTGGAAAAAATATATATGAAGGTGGCCCTGAGGCCAAAGAGGGTCCAGGGAGGCAAGGTGAGTACCCCCTTGACCAGGAAAAGGGTCTGGCAGCTCAGGAGTAGGGGAATTGAATGAGTGAGCTGGGGAGAAAGGATAGGGTGTGGGGGCGGGGGTGGGAGGCGGAGGAAAGTGTTGCAGTGTGGGGGGCTGTGGTGGTGGCATCAGGGTCTTCACAGCTTTCTCCACAGCACTGCTAATTGATTCACTCAAATGGGTTGCAAGTGTCCCAATTGCTGACGACACTGCTGATGCAACCAAATCCCCCACTCAATTTTCCATCTTGCTCATTGCTTCCTCCATTTGAGATATGGTTGCTAAAAGATTGGGAATAGCTGTACACACCTACGTACCTACAGTACGAATATGTACATAATTAATTTCTACGTATTACACGTTATCGTTTCCATCCCTTCAACGAGGGATTACCCATCTCGGAAAAGGGTGTTGTCTTCATCTCCATTGTCACCAGCTACGATGGTAAATGTTGTTGAACCTGAAAACATATTCAACTCAGCGCATGGGTTTGTAGCTACGTACATGCGTACGTATGTGTAGACACATTGTACGTTGCTAGCCCTGTACGTGTACGTATATACCTGGTCCCCGTCCACGTCCGCGGGTGGGTTTTTTAAAGAGTTTGCCACTTCAGGTGGTGGAGCTCGTAGTCGGCGGCGGGATAGGGGTGACAGCACTCGTTGATTGTGGAGGTTGGCGGTGTGAAGCGGAGGGTGCTGTGGGCATGGAAGACTCCACGGCGCCGGCAGACTCAGCTGATGCCGACAGTTCACGGGCAGTACGCTGCCTTTCTAGCTCTCCGAGCTCCCTCTCAAGCTTGTATTTTCCGCGGGAGGCTCGTCTCGATGTCGTCATAGCCTTGGTCGGAGCTGTCTCATCGTCGGCTTCCGGGTCGGAGGTTACTGGTGGTAGCACCACACAATTCCACATTTTCCCTCGGGATTTCCCCCCTTCCCCGGCCAGTGAACTTGTGCCCGGTCCAACCCCTCAACCGTCCACTCCCCCAACCTGACCACTGTCTTCTCTGGAACCTCCACCTCTTTGAATCGTTATCTTCAAATCGGACGCTGGTGTAGTCTACTTCCATCTTCTTCCTTGCTGGTTGTCTCTCTCCTTGCTGGTCGTGGTTGTCTCTTCACACGCAACACGTCTTTTGCAGTAATTATGATAATACACGTGAATTGAAGTACATTATTTTGTACATGTTTGCACAGGGTATAAGTGCAGCACATAGTACAAGCACATATCCATACAATTGCTGTCCATTGTTTCAACTGCACAATTGCGTGACTTGTAGCACACTTGATAACATTTGCTTACCTGATCTTGACAATTGTATGGGAATTTTTGTGGTGTGTCAATTGCAACTTAATAGTATTACTTTCTTTTTGACCTATGCCGTATGTGGCATGAACTAAAGGAGCATTTACGAGCAAGAGTGAAACCCAAAAATCAAATGGAACTTGTAGAAGGAATAAAGTCGTTTTGGGCCACTGTTGGTCCAGCTAAATGTAGAAAGCACGTAGGTCACCTAAAGAAGGTCATTCCAAAAGTCATAGAGCTTAAAGGCGATGCTAAGAACAGTTTGTAAACATGCTCATTGCGATTGCTAGTCTCTGTATCACATTTTTGGAAAATATTTTGTGAATTGATGAGTGTCTTTACATAGAGTAAGTGGTTGTTTATGTGCATACAATTTATTGTGACGCTGCTTGCACAAAAGGTTTGCACCTAAGTGGTTTCCTTGTTTTTGTGAGTACACTGTACGTATTTCACTGTCTTTTATAGATAGGTTGGGGTTGACAATAACGTGGGTTGACATTTAACACAACTCGAAAGTGATACGTGATACAAGTGTGAGACAAGATGATGATAATATTTAAAATGTTTACTTCATTAGCCTACCATGCGTAAATTCTGGCACAGTTACTTATGCTACGTAGATAAGCACTTGGCCCAGATTGCCTCAAAGTCCAATTCGCTACTGTCGCTGGCCCGCTGTCTGATAATGCCCTTGATTTGGCTTATTCGAGCCACATCTAGCTGTGCCAGCAAGTGACCAGCACCACCCTTGCCACTTGGAGATGAGCTAGACATGAGCTCGTCCCCAAAAAAGCTCTCCCTTGCTAACTTCACTGCAAAACTATGCAGGGACCTCATATCCCTGCCAGTTACAGCCGCCATAATGCATTCTGGTGAAGTAAGGGTGGGAGAGCCTACTTTCACGGGTGGTAGCAGATACAGGAGTTGTTGACTTTGGGGCCAGTGACTAAGCCTCTTTTGAGGTGTATCTTGCACACGTGGTGGAGTGGTGGAGTGGTGGAGTGGCAGGCGGTGTGCTAAATGTAAATGCCATTCTACTGTTCTAATGTCATTATACTGCAACACAGTCACCTTTGACTGATTGACAATACGATATATCTAGGATCGTGGAGGTGGTGAAAAGTAAAATGGGGAATTGTATGGATGATGATGATAATGTGAATTAAATGTAGTACCAATGGATGATGCTGAGTGTGTATAAAAAGGTTGAAAAAGAGACAGTAAGAGTGCTGGTGACTCCAAACTGTCAATTATACTGATGATACTCATCTGGGAGTTCATTTGTGTGGATAGCCGGTGTAGAAGATATTTTTTCGACTTTTTCCTCGAGATGATTAATTTTCTCTAGCAGCTGTGTGGCCCAAGTTGGAATGCCAGATGGTCCTGCCTCGAATTGGTTTTGTGTAGGTTATGCCGAGGTCACAATGTAGAAATTCTCTTAGGTTACCTGCATCGGTTACTTGTGGTTGACCACCTGCCAGCTTCTTAGCTGGTGCTTTCCCTGTTTGTATAGTGGAAACAAAATTAAATGGAAGTGCAGCCGTATACCTTTCTTTCCCTTGCCTTTACCATTTCTTAAGACACACCTCAAAGCAGTGGTAGCTCTAGGCGTGCTCGGTGATGCTGTAGACTTTGTCATTGCCCTTGGGCGCTTTCCTCGCTGTAGGACCGCACACTTTTTTGCCTCTTGGTTCGACTCTTAGTCCTGGCATCTCGTCTTGTCCCTGGAAAAAACTTGTACACCTCTTGCACCCCGGTTGAGTAGTGTGACAATAACAATGGTCAAAAACGAAATTTGCATACGTGATTGGTCAGCTTCGGGTACTTCAAAGAGTTTTAGAACTTCATGAGCTACACTATAGCACATAAAATACTCCGACCTTATTCAATTAATTATCTAGAATTAGCTCTGCTGTTTGTTTTGGATGGGCCAATTTTTGAGTTGGTTTGCCTGCTCCACACTCTCCAATGTGTGATTGTATAGGATTTACGTTCTTGTTGTCTTGTACCGGGGACACTGCGATGCCTTGGAGTTGCTCTTCTCATTATCATCAGAAGTTCTATGATGTCTTCAATGTCACTTATCTCATCAACAGACGTAGCTGATGCAAATGACAAGTGATGCTTTCCTTGATAAAACTGAATTTCAAGTTTGTTGGATTGATATGATTTTGTGCCAGTGTGAGGAAATGCTATATATTCTTCGACCTGTATCTGAATATGAAAATGTGGTATTGTTTGTGGAGCAATTGATGTCTCGTGGAATGAGATAAGTTTTTTGCAGGGAAGCCACCTTAAATTTGCTGCTAAATTCACAGGAAAATGTCGTTTTCTGCTGTCTATTTCCCACCAACATAATAGGATGCGCACTCTTGTACTCTAGGTAACCGTAATATCCCTTTTTGGCCACACGGTAACAGTACTTTGCTTGTCTGTCGGTCGGTGTGCATAGACGACTATTTTGACAGTGCAAGCTACGAAGTGGCCTATGAGTAGTACCAGCAACTTCAGAGCTACAAGGGCGAAAAGAATGATTCCCCAAAACGACCGCATTTTGCATGAAAAAGAAGCAAGAAAAGCCAGTATACATAAAGCTGACTTACCTCGACTGGCTATAGCCTGTTCAGCCCACCATGGAGAGATGAAGTTTCTCGGGAGATGTCTAGTTCAGTATACTCTAAATGCTGCCAACTGACTATGTGGGAGCCTAAGTAGAAAAGATAGCAATCAGCACAACCCCTGGGGACCTCTAAAATTACCATTTTGCTGGAAAAAATTGTGCTTGGTGAATTCTTTAGATGCCCGTGTAATCTAGATAGGGGCCTAACTGTTTTTCTGAAGGACCTTTAGTCAGCGGCCATTGTATCTTGTGTGCATAGTATGATTTTGTCATAGCAGAGAAATTACCTAAACGTCAAAAAATGCAAGTTTTAGACTCTGAATTGCACAGCACTGATTGCTCAAGGAATGACAGGTTAGACCACATGGCATGGCCGACACATTGATTAGCAGTGCTTTATGAGTTTTTGGCTCGGTGACAAGCAGGAGTGGGGAGGGGCCTAGGCTCCAAACCACAAATATCTGGGCATGGGCAGCACCTACCAGTGGCAAAGCCTTGTGGGGATGAATCTTATTAGTTCAGAACCACAGCGCTGCACTCCTGGTAGCCTTTATAAACTCGTGATGCCAGAGAGAGAACTTACTTTATGCTCTGCTGATGAGGGCCAACAAGCCCGAAACAGCTGTCCAGCTCCCCTCTTTTTTCTCTTGGCATCACATGGTCTAATCTTCCTGCGAATAATTGTGCACATAACAAGCACTCACGTTCCTTGTGTTGATGGTTTGCCCTTTTAGAGGCAGGGAATTTTGCATGTTTGATATTGTGTTTTTGATGTCTGCAGGCAAGCCGTGAGAAGACATATGGCCACAAACGACCGAAATTAAATCCTCACAGTAGCACAACCAACCAGCAGAAAGCCAAAAGCAAGTCATTCATCATGATGAGGCAGAAAAAGGCCATCAGAGCCAAAGGAAAGCGGTCATTTAGAGAAAGACAGGTGCAGTAGTTTGCAATTACATGTTGCACAGTAAACCTGGAAATACAATGTGCAGATTGGTTTTAATACAAAGGAGTAGGTGTATTTCACGAATTATAAATCACACGACTGTAACTTTGGGCGCTACGGTATGCAAAGCCTTGTATATACCTGGGCTGTTCAGAGGAGAAAGAAGAGCCGCTCACTGTTTGCGCTTATTATGTAACACGCTCCCCCAAAGGGTGTGTATAATTAAACAGTACTGATGAGGCAAGGCGATCCATTCTGGTAAAGCTAATCGTTCTCAGTCAGTTAGCTTTTCCCTTCAGTCTAAGTGCTCGCAAGAATGCGATATTGTCATGAAACTGAAGTGTGTGAAAATGCTCAAACAGTGAGTACTGGCTCTTTCGTATCCCTCTGCAGAGCCTAGGTACGAGGCTACAGGTATTGTACTAAGCTTAGTGCCCGTTCAATTTTTCCCTTGTAGATCAAACTTCGGAACTCACTTCTAAAACAAAAGAAATAAACATGTTGTTTGTTGTGTAATCTCAATATTTTGTTATTTACAACTTTTGTTTTTAATCATGACTTGGGTGAAATTTATATAACGTCACAAGTGATCATTAAAATATTGTGATCTGGAGGAGATATTATAGCATAGTATCACCGATTATAAAATAATGGAGTGAAATCATCATAGCGTGATCAGGATGAGATATGAAAATTGGTGACATCAATCATTTGCAGAATGCCTATACAATGGGAATGTTGACTCCAAGAAGTGAAACATGACTGAAACGTTCAGAGGGATAGAGTGTATAATAGAAAGCCAACTCGTCATAGATTACACCAATAAGTTTCACTTTCTCCCGGAAGGTCAGCTGGTTGTAGTAGTGTGGCAGTACATGTGCAGTCTTATCTCCCGTACCGTGCAGACTCTCGTCTCTGTAGTAACGTGGATCAGTCTTGAACTTTATGATGAGGGCTTGTGTATCGTGAGAGAAATTTCTGAAGTTCCCGTAAAAGTCAAAGTCGACTACACAAGGATGGCAGATATCCATCGAGGTCTGGAAGTGTTCGTTTAGGTCCTCTGTGGGAGTGTATATCAGGTAGTGTACAAAGTGCTGGAACGACACTGATATGTTGTATGGCTTAGTTTTGAATGCCTGCTTCCACTGGAGAAACTCTCGTAGTTGGAATCGCATTAGGATCTCCTTTTTGATCTTGTGAGGGAAAGAGTCCTGCTTCTGGAAGTCCAATGGCGGCTCGATCTTGTTCCTGTAGCCTGACACCAGCCTGTCCAGGGGGTTACGGACTATCATGAACTTGTAGTAAGTGTGCATCATTGTTAGTCGCTGTAGTTGTGTTAGAGTGACGTTCATGAGCGAGGCGTGCTTGAGAGCTGGCTCCAAGTACTTGCTGTCCTCCACCCACGGCCAGTCCAGTGTGTCGAGAGGCAGGTGGCCTCCCATGTACAGCATCAGACGCTTCATGTTGGTGCAGCCAATCTGTAGGTAATGAGCAATAAAGAGAATCGGCTTGCATTAGCATATACAGTACTTCCAGAGTACTGTAGTTTCACACATACATGTACAAGTCACACAGGTGTTGCAGGCCCCGAGTCACAGATTTGCTTAAGGCATGCTTGGATGCAATACAGATCTAGCAGAGATGTTGAAAGAGTTGCTTACACCTGCTTCTATATCACATCAAGGGAATTTACAAGCATAAAATGGTTCAATCATCTAGTGATAACGGTAAATTCATACGGGTTTCAGGGGGAAATGGGCTTAAGTTGGTGATTAAGGATGTTACTCAATATCTCCCCAACTCCATTGCGTTGTCCACAGGTTGTGTGTAGTGGCATATTTCTTAGTCTTCAAAATTTGCTGCCGTACACTGCCTATTAGAGCTGGACCGACTCTTTGCTATGAAAAAGCGATAGCTAAGGGATAATGGTAAAACAGTGTGTGTGATTTAGACAATGAAATAAATGTAAGCCAAGGCAGCCACTAATCTACTTTTTCCATAAAGCACCAAGTTAGAAGGCACACGGTTACTGGTTCAATGTAGCAAAGGCATGTGTCTAGAGGTACTCACCTTAAATCATTGAAGAACGGAATGTTAGCTTCTTTTATGTGAATAATAAGGTATAAACCGTAGAAAATTGACTTCAATAGAAAGTCAAGTGTGCACTGGGCACAACGCCAAGGGATGTGCCACCTGTACACTGTTTGTTTGTATATCACATTACACATATATACCTTGGGGACGAAGCAGAACATGGACTGAGTGTGCTCCTCAAATATGAGATGACGATAGAACAGCTTTGCAGTGGGCGGATCACTGGGAAGACTCTCTCTCACAAACACATGCTTTTTGCAGAACTCCTTCATCCGCTCCTTCTGGAACTGCAGAAATGGATAAGTCTCTCCACTCTTAAGTTGTCCCATGTGACTTGGACAAACATCAAACACTAGACAATATACCATACACACACACACTGCTCAGTAGTCACCATTCTCTCTCCATAGATGCCTGTTTTCTCTCTATTTTTCTACAGTTATCTCTTGTTCGATGCCAATTGTTGCTTGTACTGCATTGCTCTTCACTTGACTAGTTTTTACTACTTCGTGTGTGTGTGTGTGTGGGTGTTGGAGGGGGTAGTTACAATCGCAGAATAAACTGTAACCCTCGCTGTTCATGCGTGCCGAGGCAGCTCAGGAAAGAGGTGAGCTACAAGCAGGTATGGGCTCAATCTAAAACACATGACAAGACCAAGGCTTATATACACTACTGCATAGCATGTACGAGCAGACAGACCAGCAAACTCAAACAATTTGCTGCCTATACCAATTTTAATGTGTAAACAGAATGGCTAAAGAAATACAGACGGTTTAGTCAATGCCATTTCAGAAAAGTGTGAACCTCTATTCGGCTCCTACTGTGTATACATTTCTTGGGGATCCCGGTTGACTGGCGTAAACAATGCCACAATAAAGACTGCTTTGTTTCATGTCAGAATTTGGAGCTAATCTATAATGTAAGTGTGTAAGTAGTACACTTATTTCTCTGGCTGTGTGCACAGTCAAAAGAACATTACAGCAGTGCTTACTACTGAAATCGTTCAGGTAGATCTGTGTGAAAGGATGCCATAAGTTGACAGAAGATTTGGAAGCTGTGTATTAGGTTCCTTGGCTAACTGTGTATCTTCCCATTCCACAAAAACACACAGAGCACGTACTCAGTCATACAGCGCGAGTGCATGTCACTCATTCTCAGAGTAGACAGTGCAGTTTATCTTCTTGCTTCATAGAAAGTGCTTACTGTAGCCATTGAATGGCCCAAAAAAGTAAAGCATGACGACCGTGAAGCTTGCTTGAAGTAAGAAACCTCCATAGAAATTGGGATACACCTCATAATACAAAATTGGCAGAGCACGCTGTGAACCATGGACGGATGTAGGATGTGGAAAAATCCTTGTTAATAGGCGGGTGCTTGCTCAGGCTTATAGATAGCATTTTAGGCATTTAGGTTTTTATTTCATGTTAGAGTAACGAAATATGCTAAGTCAGCATTTCTAAGACACTAAGGTTGAGTATCCCACCACTTCTGAAGTGTCCCGGTGACTCCTCCTCACTCTCCTATGATTCCCTTTGTCTCCGTATGACTCCCCAGTCTCCCAGTGTATCCCTATGACTCTCCAGTCTCCCAGTGTCTCCCCATGACTCCCCAGTCTCCCAGTGTCTCCTTATGACTCCCCTGTATCCCTATGACTCCCCAGTCTCCCAGTGTCTCCCTATGACTCCCCTGTATCCCTATGACTCCCCAGTCTCCCAGTGTCTCCCTATGACTCCCCAGTCTCCCTGTGTATCCCTATGACTCCCCAGTCTCCCAGTGTATCCCTATCCCCAGTCTCCCAGTGTCTCCCCAGTCTCCCCCCAGTGTATCCCTATGACTCCCCAGTCTCCCAGTGTCTCCCTATGACTCCCCAGTCTGCCAGTCTCTCCCTATGACCCCCCAGTCTCCCCCCAGTGTCTCCCTATGACTCCCCAGTCTCCCAGTGTATCCCTATGACTCCCCAGTCTCCCAGTGTCTCCCTATGACTCCCCAGTCTCCCAGTGTATCCCTATGACTCCCCGTATCTCCCTGAGACATGGGCCAGCAAACACAGATGATACAGGTAGACTGGGGAGTTATAGGGATACACTGGGAGTCATAGGGAGACACAGGAAGACTCGGGAGTCACAAGGAGACACAGGAACACTTCAGAGATGGTGGGATCATTACTATCTTAGAAGTGCTGACTTGGCATATTTCGTGACTCTTACATGAAGTAACAACTGGCATTCGGGACTGTGATATTTGCCTTTGTTGTTATCAGCCTCTCAAAGAAACAGGGTGCAATCCGGTCAAGTCTAATGCTAATTAGCATACTGGCCGTAGTTTTCGAATTCAGCATTATAACGTGTAGCGCTGAACCTCTGGGCAGCTTGTTGCACTTTGTGTGTGGCAGAAAATATGGTAAAGACACACAGACAGACACCCTTGCTGTGCATGTGGACAAGGAACCCTCCTGAGTGGGACCCCCACCACACTCTGCTCTCTAGTTTGCCCACTGAGCTATCTACTCCGACAGCTCAACAGGCAGCACTAAAAAGGCAAAGGCAACCACCAAATACACTCTGCATGTTGATAGCTTGCCTAGTGTACACAAACAGCAAGGATTGCGGCTATCCCTGACAAAGACTGTATTCATATGAATAGTTTCCCTGTCATGTGTACAAAAATTCACCTTGCCTCTAATTTCAATGTCGGGATGTTCAGAGAGGGCCAGGGTATGCGAGTCTTCGTTGTCCTTTGGTAGCCCCATTAGTATATCTGTACACAAAGTTGACATTGTATGTATACAACATGTATACATCCTTAACATTGCAGAGCTAGCGAATGACACAAAGTTCAAACGCCAGACATGGCACACTAAAGCCAGTACAATATTATACACATTCATACCAACACTGATGTCTACACATGTAAAATGATCACAATGGTGCTGAATTCATTCTAGGTCAATCCTTGCAGTGTATAGCTACAAATACACAATATATCAACATTATTGTCTACAAGTACCACCAGGAAGGGATTATCTTACAAGTAGCCTTGAGGGTGATACACCACTATGTGGGTTCTCCCTGGGAGTGGGAGACGTAAATAAACACCTTCTTGGCACACACATGTGGTTAATTGTGACTGAGCAAGTCTACAGTGGAATGCCTATATATTGTGTACGGTGATGTTACTGTATGTATATGCATCAGTCCTCATTCTAAGTACTATAATGTGGGGCCACAAATTGAACTGACTGATATAATACATACACACAGAGACACACTTGTGATACAGTGGCAGCTTGATTGTCCTTGAAAAATAACCGAGGATCTTCTCTATAGTCCCAAAGACAAAATGGTGGCTTTTTGAGTTAGAGAGAGTAACCTGTGTTAGTTTCTCACCAAGCTGTGAGCACTCTACATACCCTATGCATGATGCACACCTAATGCCAGATGAATGTGCAAATTCCTAGGAGGCTTATCATGCCCACTCTATTGGCCATAACAGAAGAACTAGTACCTCTTCCTGCTGAATCCCACCTTCCTAGAACAGCTTGCAAGGCCTGTTTACAGTGTCCATTGCACTTTGTCCATCTCATGTGCACTTTCCACCCTCCATTGGACACTCATAGGAGCATGGATTCTTGGAAAGGTGCTAAAATCACTTCCCCCAGATAATATTTGCGCCTCATTGATAGAGAACACACACTAGTAAAGAGTGTGCATCAATAGTTTTGCTTCGTGACAATATTCACCACCCAAGTGTTATGAATCCCACAGGAGGCATCATATTTCCCTGGCACTGGTACTATATGTATCACACAGAGTTTGTAAATTCATAGAAGATAAGCTTGCAAGCATCTTGTCTTCTCATATTACACTGTATAAACAGTACACCTACGTATCATTACACTGTATGTACAATTACACCCAATGTTAGCAGAGCCATTCCTTAAGCGTGCCAAAGGTCACATGGCCTGCGCAGAATGCTTCCCTGGCACACACATAATGACCCACTGATCATCTCAAAGGACCTTCACATCAGAGGTGCGTTGTCACAGTTTATTTTGGCTACTTCCCCAGGCCTCTAGCACAAACAGCTCGTAAAGACATCAACAACCGAGTAGAGAGTTTGGTGTTATCTCCAAACAACCAATCCTAGTGGGACCACAATTCACATACTGGTAGAGTGCTACCTAGAGACATGGGGAATGTAACCAAAATAGTTACACTTGCTGGGCACATTCCATTGGCTGTAACACAGCACCACCCAGCTACAAGAGCAAAGCATACTGCTCCCAGGAAACCTGCAGGTATTTGTAAGTGGACATGTAAGTGTACATGTAAGTGTACAGAGTCTACAAAAGCTGCTAATGTGCTGAACAGCAAGAGAGGCCTCAGATGTCGCATTTCACAGGTGAACACTGTTAGCGTGCAAATGCTCTCATTCACTTAACCTTTGCAGGTACATGTAGAACACTTTGTACATTCAATTTGCTCTGTGTGTGTACTTGGACAACATGCTTTGCTTTGGCAGGGAGCACCTGCATATACAAGGAAGTTCACACAAGACTCTCAAAATAGTAGAGTGTTCTATCTGGCATGGTGAAATATTCTGGTCCTGTAAGTCGGTCTATAAGGTGAAGCCATGTCTCATAGTGAGGTCAGTAGTTTGTGTGACTCACACTCAACACACATCCATACATGTACACAGGAATGGAGTCCAGGACCTAAGGAGATATACATAGTGTCTGTGGTTGAACACTACCCCATGCACCCCTATAGGCAGGAAACCCCACTAATCAGGACCCTGGGCACATGCCAAAATTCTAATTTGCAGTTCACTTCACACTGCACTGTCACACACTGGCTGAAAGGGTAGAGAGACTCCCTATCAAGACTACCATACATATGCTGTGTTGCTCAATAGTAAGCTATGGCAAAGCTTGATCCACTACGGATGTTGAGATCCAAGTACAGTCACAGGATCACTGGCTCATGTGGTTGACACCAGAGATAGGAGACTAATTACCCTGCTCTAATTTATCTTGTTGGACGGGTCAAATTTCCTTCAACACCCTTTCAGTGTGTACAGTATAGTATGTGACTTGTTCCCTGCACCCAGAAACTGGGTTTTCCAATCAGATTGCTGGAAACTGTACGTGACGTCAATGTTATTGTGGAATGTGCAAAGTCAGCAGGGCAAAAAAGGAACGCGTTCGCGAGCTGCCCGGCGTCTGCGCCGTGGGAGCACCAGCTGTTAGTTCTGATGGGCTAGTGGATCATCGCTTCCTCATTGGCAGTGAATTTCACAGGTAGCTTCGTTATGAGTGTATAGCCTTTATACAGGAATGTGTGGATGCTTCTATTTGAACATTAAACGATTACATCATTACATTCCATGGGCACAAGTCTACAATACTACACAGACCAGACCCTTTCCCCTTTTAGAGAGGGTGTGGCTACGCGAGACTAAGGTACACAGATATACCTCTGCTTGTGTGGTGGGTGTTAGAACTGAGAGCAGATGAAGCTATAATCCCTGAATTTTCTGAATGGCAGATTGAACGATTCCACATCAACTCACTGTAATAACAAAAGTGGAAACCACAATCTGGCAATAATACAATGACGTACTTGACGGTGGGCACTAATAAGAAAAAGAATAGCAAACAGCAGCCACAGCCAAGCACTCTGTGATGGAGTCTCATGCTCAATTGTCTGCATCAGCATTAGTAGACACTAATCACCACAATATTATACAGCCCGATGACTACTAGCCTGTATCCACAGTCGAGCGGGGAGGACGAGAGAGTAGAGCGCCTCCAGTGCGCGCATGCGCGTGGCATGCCAGTCTAGTCTTAGTCCACGCGCGCGCGCGATAGCGTCTGTATCAACTTCCGTTTCATACCCGGACGCCGCAATTTTGTACACAGCTAGCTTAGTTGGCTCGCGTGGTGGGTGAATTTTTTTCGAGTTGTGAGTAATAGTAAGACACGTGTGCTGTTCTTGATTCTCTGTCGATTTTCATCGATGAACGGGCGCCGTTCAGAAAGCACCATCAGCATCATCGATGGTCCCATCACATCCTCTACTGTGTACACCTCGGCGGAAGGCAGCTTGACTTTGCGACCTGCAGCCTACTGCGGTGATGGCGGTCGTCCGTCCGTTTCTGTTGTTGCAGATAGAATAGCTGTTTTGGTTCACACCAGTCCGACTGGCACTGAAGTTCAACACTGCGTGGGGGGTCGTCAACGGCGAGGGACAGGTGCAGTGGGGAAGACACATGCAATTTGCGAAAGGAACCACCCCCAGTGTTTCCACAAACGATATGTGGATGGCTCTCGCAGTTTACGACAAACGGCGAGGGCAAACTCTCCAGTAGATATGGAATAGTAAACCCCGAGACGAAAGACATAACGTGGGGCAAGAGCCAGAATTGCGGCAGTGGGATACAACCCTCAGTTGCTCTTAGAACAGACGGAAAGATTGTGGAAGTGCACGAAGAGAAACACCTTTTCAAGAAGAGTTTGTACTATCGATTGGGTCAAGTGGACATGGGTAGGTGTGGAGTACACTGGGAGCACCCCGTAAAGATGACCAGCAAAGCAGCAAATGCTAAAATTGCTATGAGTGATGAAGGGTATGTTGTGGAAGTCCATGAACATGAAGGAGACAGTGCCTTGTGCTACACTGTGGGTGAGCTGAAAGACACCCACATAGAATGGGGGAAGACCCACTACTACGACGTGGGCTCTTCACCGAATGTGTGCATCAAGAACTGGAGCAACCAGCTAGTCGAAGTTCATCAAAACACTGCGTCAGATTTTTTACAGTATCGCATGGGAATCATCAACCTGAAGCAGATGATCATTGAGTGGTGCCCGGAGAAGTTCAAGCTGCAGAAGGGTAGGCATCCTTCAGTGTCTGCAGGAGACAACTGGACTTTGATGTCAGTGCAAGTGGAAGCCAGCAGCTCCATGGCCTGCTCCACTGGATCCATAGCCAAACTACTCTAATTGCTTCATTGTCATTCCTGTCATTCTTTATGCCTAGCTTTCTGCACCAATCACAAATATTATGTCTGCATTTTTATGTCGGCATTCTATGCCTTACGCTGCTTTACATCTATTTCCGAGCACCTTAGTTATTCAGCACGCTGTTTCACGCTTTTCTACTCGTGAGTTAACTGACAAGACTCTCTTCCAGCACTGGACACTCTTTCTCTTCTTCCTCCCCACTGAGGTTGTTGAGCCTAGCTTTGTGATAGTCCATGATAATTATTGCAGAAGAAACTGCTCATGCTCCCACCAAGTTTCCGTTGGCTGGAGTGATGGTATGTCAACTAGTATTATACCTAGGCCATTGTTGCTTAATTGAATGGCCCACTGCACCTGGTCATTACCACAGGGTACGTATATTGTGTATATACACATGAACAACTGATTTTTGACTACGCCAGGAACAGAAGGCAAAATTCTGTCTCATTGGGTTGTATATAGTTTGCTATACAGAGATCACTATTATCTCAAGCTACTTAGAATGTGGTATGATAGTATAACAGGAACACTGCATTGATTTACGCATTCCGCTCTCGTTTTACACCATGAATGCAAACAAAGTAAATGCACCAGTGTCCACCTCAGCAAACTTTGTGGTTGTAACTTGTAAAACATTTTTCTTCCCTGCATCAGAACATAGCTTTTCTCTCTTCTCTCTTACATAAACACGGTCCATTCCCCGTAAAAGTAAAGCAGGGAGCCAGTGTACCATTATGGTCTTCACCAATGACTGAACCATTAGGCTTTCTCCATTAGCTGATTTTAGGTGATACGACAGATATGGATCCCCAGCATTAAAGATACTTCTCTTTTCATAATGTCTTTCCACTTGCCCCAAAACACCAATCTATGAGGGTGTAGCTTGCTAGCTCTGCAACATTCTCTCAAGGATGATGTTGTAGATAGAGACAACTGATGTGGAGTGTATGGCTGGATTATAGCTATGCCCACTGCACCTGCATAGGTGTGTAATGTAGTGCAAGACACCCTCTTCTGTACGGTGAGTGGAACTGGAGAGTCTAAATTCTCAATTGATGAGTGCTGATCATTAATCTTGTAAGATGTAAGAGGAACTAAAAATTCTTCACCATCTTTGATTGGCTCATAATTTATCTCTCAGATCACTTTGCCAGCTCTGGTACTATGAATTCCATATAGTACACTAATCCAAATTTGTGGGAAGCCATGATAGGTGTGCGTGTTTGTTTGGTGAAATTTGCACCTTAAAGAGTTACGATGTATATTATAGCAAGAATGAATGAAGTAAGGGGTGTCCCAATTAGTAGCTACCCTGAACCACTACTAAGTTATAGCTATATACCTTCTTTTTCATTGAAAGGGAGTTCTATCTAGCTCTCCATACATAGCGAGTGGTAGCAAACAGTTCTTTGTACTCCAAAGGCTAACTTATCAAATCGTCAATGCATGATTTCCAGTTCATCTGCCAGGTATATTGCTATACTGATTTCACCAGTAAGTAACTGAGCAATGATGAGTCGGGACAATTATCTCTGCACGAAGAAGTGAGAGTGCCTTGCTTGCCTGGTTAGCCATTAGAGAGGATGATAAACCTACACTTAATGCCTTATGGATTTATGTACTTGTGAATATCACAACTTTAGTATTATATTGTCTGCAATCATGCTCAGGTTCCAAACAGCCAGTCAGTATAATTATTGCAAAAGATTAGAAGCTGCATGGTCTGTGGTTAATTATGGTGCGTAGTGCGTTTGCTGGTATAATATAGGAGTAATTTGAATAAAAGTGGGCTGAGACGGCATCCTTTTCGCACTCCCCACTGGAGAATGGGTCGTCATGGCAACCAGCATTAATTAGCTCCTCTAAACAGATCGCAAAATAGGAGGAGAGTTTATTTGCAAAGAATCCAAAGGAAGCGATTGTGTCAACAACGAGGTAACGAGGTAGAAAGGCAAGGCAAAGCAAACAACTCAATTACACCCAGAGGATGTAAGATGTTTCATTTTTGAGCACACACCTTTTGTTCCCGAGTATATAGCTTGTGATTCACTTAAACACTTCTGCAAATCCACCTAACAAAGCTTTTGGAACAGGATTGCATTATTGATGTCGTGATGATATTAGTTGTCTCTGTCTGAATCCAAACTGTGATTCACAAGCTTGTAACTAAGTTCATCCCAGCAGAGAAGCCTCTCTCTCCAGTAATTTACCTGTTGCACAGCACTGTTACCTGGTTTTGCGCACACATGGGCTGTTTGTTAGCGGCTTGAAGCAAACCTTCGCACGCCGCTATTATCGTGCGCAACTTGTGGAGATGAACATGCCTTAGCATAAAATGGATGTGGTGTAGGTGTATATATAAACGAAGTATTATACAAAACCAGAATCATATCAGTCCACTCTCTACAAGTGTAGCAAGTCTCTCCAAGCCTGAACGCCGCAATGTTGACAAAAGGTTGTCCCATGTCACTGGTGTCTTCTCACTGTTGACCCACTTTGTGAACACAGCCTCAGTTATGGCCTCAGCTCGACTGTTGTGAGTAATTTCTAGCCCGTCCATGATGGCGTGTGACTCATCATTGAGAATAATGGTTCCAAAGACCCTGTATTTCCCTCCAATCTGTTCAGCTAGGTTCTTGTAACCCTCGGAAGTCGGAAAACTCAGCAGCTTCACCATATTTGGTCGCATACCTGTATAGTGAAACCATTAGTGCAAACGGCAATCATTAGTCACTTCTTGTGTCCTTTATTTGTACTAAAATGATATATTATTAACTGCTGGGATGCAGGCAATTATGAGTCCTTCCCCGAATCCCTGTGCTAAACTTTGCACTAGATGGAATCTGAAGCACATAACTTCATAGGTCAATAGAAATCTCAAAAATGTAGCTATATATCTGCACCTACATACTTACGTACTTCTTTGTACTTTTTCTGAAACAACACTTTTGGGTCCAGCTGTAGTTCATACAAAACACACAGATAGCTATTGATTTTGCAAATCTATTGAGGTGTAGGTAAACACCTGGGTTTTGGTGAGCAGTTACTGGCGGTTGATCAGATGAAACAATCTCGGCTATAAGATAAACACTGGTTACACTTAAACATAAAAGATAATTATTTTATTGCCTAAATACCTGGATGAAGTTTGGCCATTTTTGAGGCCATTTTCGGATGTTTCCCTCCAGCAGGATGGCCAATAGAATCCACGAGCCACTGCCATGTCTTGTTACTGTCATCACTGCTTTCAATGGACAATAGCCATGCTTCCAGCATCATACGTTGCTTGTCAATGAGGGAGGCATTTTGATCCACCCGAATGCCCTCCAGATCACCGACTGGAGCACCCAGGACTGTGCCCATCTGATACCAGCGAGCTGTCACAGTGTTGCCCAGCACTGCTTGGATCTCTTTTACCACATTCTGTACAGTTGTTTCACTACTCTGATCCCCTGAAAGATAGCGTCCCCCGTTAGAATGAGTGTAATGCATGCCCAATACTCACAAATGACAGCTTTGCTAGCAGATTGAGCCTGTTCAATTGGTTTGGAGCATCGGATTTCTAAAAGAAACAAAGTGCTAATAATAATTGGGAACAGGTCACAGTATTTTAGATACCTTTGAACGAGCTGGCGATCTTTATAGCTAACACCTGATTTCCTCCACCAGCTGGTAGGAAAATAGCCCGATGAGGTTCCTCCATGTCGCAGTACCTTCCTTCAACCAGCTCTGGAGAGCGATTACTAAGCAATCATCAGCAACGGTTCCATTTTTCTTTATTTGGTCTAGATCTGGAACATCCAATTGTAAGCAGAAATCCATGCCACTTGGGTGATAAAGAGTAGATGACACGGTACAGATAGGGCAGTGCACTATCATCTGTGAAACGACGGTCAAGAATATGGCCCAGCGGCGCAACTAATAGCTAAGTTTATATACCAAGCTCAAAGTCTCCTCGTCTTCGTCACTAACTTTCTTGAGTATTTCGTCCAATACTTGATCTCCTTTAGATCTGGCTGAAGACAAACAGGCCGTAGCCAGTCACCTGCCCTGCCCTGAACATGAAGGCCGCCCGCCGCGCCCGCCTGCGCAGAACGTCGCGAGGCCTTGCAATAAACTTACCCATGGCGCTCAGCGACTGCAAACTGCTTTAACGACCACTGTTCAGACTCTCTTTGTCAACATCCGATCCCGGAAATTCCATTATTCATATATACGTTTTGTAAATTCCACACTTACCAACAGCCCTGGATAGGTTTACCAAAAACCCCACGAATTTTCAAATCATGAATGGTGTTGTATAAAAAGACACTGCATGCAGTATATACAACTAGCTAGGTATGTTTATTCTCTGACAGAGTCCTGGCCAGTCGCTGGTGGTTTCCACCAGCTACATGTCCAACTGAATCAACTAGCCGTTGCCAGGTGGTGTTGTCACAGTTTCTCAGCCATTCCTGAAGCATCATCCTCTCACAGTCCAGGGCAGGTTGTTTCTCCAGCCGAATCATCTCCAAGTCACTCACTCGGGCACCCAGGGTAATCCCCAGTTGGTACCAACGTGCCGCTACCTTTGAATCCAGCATTGTTTGAATGTCTTTTACAGCACTTTCAATGTTTTTGTAGAAGTCACCTGTGTCCACCACAAACACCTCATTTCAGAAATGATGGCATGTCTGATTCTGTGCTTACCAATATTTCCAGTACTGGTGTTCTGGGCTATAGCACTGGGCTTGAATGTACACATTTCTACACACAGGAGTAAAAACTACACAATAATGATAATCGAGTATAAGATACCTTTGAATGAGTGGGCTACGTCACGAGCCAATCGTGGATTACCTCCACCAGCTGGTTGGTAGATGGCTCTGATCAGTTGTCTCCAGCTCACGTGAACATCCTTCAACCAGCTCTGGAGCCCTAGCACAAGACAGTCGTCAACCTTGGTCCCATTCCTCTCGATCTGATCCAGTTCTTTGACATCTAACTGAAGGCAGAATCCATGCCACTTGGAAGCCAAAGAGTGGAGAGCACGAAACAAGAAGGGCAAGTGCTCTTCCTCTGTTGGGGCCGTAATGATAACTTATTCTCAAGGAGTTTTGAGAAACGCACTCAGCTCATACTCCCTTTCATCGTCTTCATTCACGCACTGTAGGAACTGAGTCAACCTCTCGTCTTCGGCTGCAGAGAGAGAGGCACGTATATAGCAATTGCTCCTTGCCACGAACGGAGCGTCTGTGCTTAGGCTAAGTTTCTTTACTGTCTCAGACGCGGATTAGCTAATCATGCTCAACGTATCATCTCCTTGTTTCTGTTTGAAACATACCCATCAGCAAGAAAGAGCACTACGAACTTCACCCGGACGGCGTTACGTCGGCAATCGCAGGGCGGATCACTTCGCTGTGCGGTGGTCAGGGGCGTAGCCAGGACTGGGGTTTCCCGCCAGCATTGCGCATGTGCGTAACTACGCGCGCTTGCGCTTTCGTGTGCGCGCTGAACGTCGTGCACCTTCTCGTTGCTGACACCGGAGCTACTGTATATACCTCTCTCTTTTTCTACTCTGATCACCGGCAGTCTGAGGTACAAAACCGAAAGAGGACATGCGCTTCATCTATCACCTCGCAGCGCGAGTCACAAATGTCCGCGTGCACGCGCACGTATATCAAGACCACGCCTAGCCTACTTTAGAGGTGTTTCCGGGGCCGGGCAACGTATATAGGAAATCACAGAGCTATATTATACGCCCCCTGTGCTGCGTGCCTTGGTGCACAGGGCCGGGCGACGTCAGAATCTGCGTCAGCTTCCTGTGTGCACGTATCTCAACGTCCTGTGTGTGCGCAGGATTCGAGAACACACTGGTGGCAGACGCTGCGCACGCGAGGGCTTTAGTATTGCAGCGGCCCGGCGCCTTGGGTGTGGCGTATCAAGCGTTATTCCGCATTCCAGAGTCAATTACGTGCAACAATGCAGTCATACGTTCTCTGCTACTCGTTTTTCCGCATTCCAGAGTCAATTACGTGCAACAATGCAGTCATACATTCTCTGCTACTCCATGATGATTCAATGAAATAAGAGCATCTCTCAAATTCTCCCATGTAGTTCCTCCTGACTTCAGCACGCCATCCTTTCCTAGTATCCATGCTCGCAACAAGTCACTGGCGTAGACACTAACACTGGCTGAGTACTTGTTATGTAGTGTAGCATCAGAAAGTCCCAGTTTCATAAATAGATCCTTAAGTTCATCTTTTTCCAGATTTATCAACAGGGTTTTAGCTTCAAGAACATCTTTGTTTATGTCTAAAGAATTGTATGGGTCAACACCAATAAGCCAGGCTAAAGATACTAATATTACCTAGTTTCCCGGTCCTTTTTGTAGTAGTGGTAGGGACCAGAGACAGTGTCATGCACAGCAGCTGCCACACCTTCATAAAGGAGTATAATAGTAAACTGGTACACTCTGTTCTCCACATGAAGGGGTGGGACCAGGATTTGCTGTAAGCATAATTCATCATTAGCCCATTACAGTATGCAGACCTGTTTTTGAACTTTGATCAGTCACCCCACAAGAGGTCATGTCTGTAATGGTCGAAGCAATTGAGGTGATTGAAATCTATAAGGCTGTACGTACTCACAAGTTACCTGATGGTTTCTTTTTGGCTAGTTTTCCGGCCAGTCGCTGGTGGTCTCCACCAGCGGCATGCCCCACTGAGTCAACCAGCCACTGCCAGGTGGTGCTTCTACAGTTCTCCAGCCACGCCCTCAGCATCAAAGCCTCACTATGACTTGGGGGGTGTTTCATCACTCTGATACTCTGGAGATCACTGACTGGGGCTCCTAGAGTGACACCCATCTGGTACCAGCGGGCTGCAACTTTGTTCCCCAGAAGACCCTGGATATCTTTGACTGCACTATCAATACTAGATCTAGAACTACCTAGAGGAAGAGGAGATTGTGTTACACTACGAGTATGTTTTTACAAGGAAACTCACAAATATGTGCAGTGCTAGCATTGCAAGCTTGCTCAATAGGTTTGAAAGTACACATCTCTGAGGGAGGGAAAACATCACAGTTTTATGAGTAGTCCTCAATTGCACGCCCACTATCAACCTTTGAAGGATCCAGCAACGTCTAGAGCCATGCGCTTGTTATTGCCACCAGCTGGCTGGAATATGGCTGAGATTAGCTGCTTCCAAGACACCTTGTCTCCTCTTAGCCATCCCTGAAGACCAAGCACAAGATAATCATCAACAGATGTTCCATTCCGCTCAATTTTGTGTAGGTCCTTCACGTCCAACTGCAAGCAGAATCCATGCCATCTGGGAGCCAAGGAGTGGAGGGCTCTGAACAGAAACGGCAAATGCTCCTCATCTGGTGCAAACAAACAAATACTGAAATACGCAGTCGCATAGTCCGATACGGTAATGTTACAAACCTAGCTCAAAATCATCTTCGTCCTCCTTGCTCACATTGCTGAGAATTTCGTCCAATCTTCCATCGTCTTACCGATTGGCGAACATGTAAAATATTACTGTGACGACCCACAGCTAGATACTAGCTAGCTAACTCACCCATGGCTTGCAATGGTGGATAGCTAAACGGCGCGGAACGTCTTCCGTTTGGGTGCCACCCCTCCTACAAAATATCCGCCCCTGGTCACGCATGCGCCGGAGGAACTAGTGGAGGCTAGCTATGCTGCAGGGCCGGAAAAGCTATAATAAATGAAAAGCACTAAAGTGCAAACCCTCGGCGAACTGGGGATGCGCGGTACCGCTAATTGATGGGCTAGGCTGCTATTAGTATGCGTTTACTCGTGGTCTCCCGCTAGTAGCTCGCAGAGAGTCTGACACGGGCTAGCTAGAGTAGTAGATAGTATGCGAGAGTCGATACACGCCCTTCGTTGTGACTTCTTGTGCC